TAGACCAAAACTATATAAAATTATATATTTAAAAATAAAAAATAATAGTAAAAATTATAATTAAACGTAGCTAATAAATTATATATATTAACCAATATAGCATTTACTAGTATTTGCCATTTTATTTATTTTTATATATAATTTGGTTTTTTTATAAGAAGAAATAAAAAGTAAATAAGTTTTCATAAATTGTTATTTTTTATTATTTATTTTTAAATTAAATTTTAATTATTTTAATTCTTAGTATAAAAATGTAATAAGAGTTAATATAGCTTTAAAAAAATATATTATTTATTATTTTTAAAGTTTTTAATATATAATACCTTTTTTTCATATAATTTTTTTATGAGAGTAACATTTTGACAATTATCATTTTATTTTCAAATAATGTCCTATTCATTTAGAATATTATTGCCCTAATAATGCATTTTAAAGCTAAAAACAAATTGAAAATAATTACGTGCATAGGACTTGAAATTTTATATTTACATAACAAACACTAATTCATTCTTGTTAAACTTCCAATGATCAAATTTGATAAAATTTAGAAAATGGTTGAATGTTTTATTATGAATTTTAATATTTGAGTGAGAATTTAAAAAATTGATGAACGAGAATGTTAATTTTAGGGCACTTATCCACAACATAGTGGTTGAGTATGTAGTCTCCCATCGTGAGGTTGCGGGTTTGGCATATTGCTATTTGGGCTCATCTTTCCCAAAAGAATGTTATTTTTTTTTCCATTGGCTTCAACAAAATGCCAGGCACTGATAGTTTTACTTCAAGATTTATATTGATACTTAGATTTTTACTGGTTTAGATTGTATTAGTGATGCAAGATATTTTTTAAGAACTTGCAAACTACCTTGTAGGGCTAAGCATTTTACTATTTCTATCACTCATAAAAATAATAATGTTAAATGTATTGATAATTACATATTTATTTCTCTTTGCAATACAAGTGATTGTTATTTTACTTGCTAATCATATTAAAATAGTTCTTTCTGAAAGTATTCATCCAGCTTAATCTGCTTTCTTAAAAGACCATGATATTTTTTATAATATCATTTTAGCAAATGAGCTCTTTTATGATTTTAAATCTAACATTTCTTCCAAAGATTTTTGGTGCTAAAATTGTTATTAAAAAAACTTTTAACGAAGTTAATAAAATCTACTTTTTTTCATGCATTATTTGGGGCTTCCTCTTGTTTTTATCAATTGGATTAAAGCTTGCATTGATAATATTTATTTTTCCCATTATTGTTAAGATTGAAATGAAAGGCTGCTTTTCTTCTTCTTCTTCTGGTTTGAGACAAGGTTTTCCACTATCTCCCTACCTTTTTTACTATTGTTTTGGAAGCTCTCTCTTATTTGTTTGATGATCACGATATTGGCTTTAATGTGTGTATTAATAATGTGAATATCTCCCATTTAATTTATGTTGAAGATCTCTTCCTTTTTTGTAAGGCTGATTCAGATTCTATTAAGCATCTGGTCTCTATTCTTTATATTTTCAGTAAAGCATCTGAACTTTAAATTAACTTTTCAAAATCTACTATCTATTTTTTTAATTTGGTGGATCTTTTATTTCAGCAGTACTGTTTTGTTAGTGATTTCACATTGAAGCTTTTGCATTAGAAGTATCTTAGGGTTGTTTATAGACTTGTTGCTTCAGATTGTTAAATTATTTTGGATAATCTTCAATCTTACTTGACTGGTTGGAAACAAATGTTTCTTTATATGGATGGTAGAATTCAATTAGTTAAATTTACCATTTCTAGTTACTTATACCATTGATTTTCTTCTCAATGTTGCCAAAAGGTCTTTGTAAGAAATTTTCCTCTGTGATTAAGAAGTTTATTAATCATAATGATAATAATAAGAAGATGAATGTCGTTAGTTGGACTAAAATCATTTTACCTAAACATATTGGTGGCTTTCATTTACATGTTCTAGATGCCATCAATACTGCGTGTAAATTTAAGATCATTTATGATGTTATAACTTTAATTTTGTTTGATCTAATTGGTTTTTGCATCATTATGTTTCAATTTGGTGTATCCCTAAGAATTCAACCTTTTTTTTGGAAAGATGCTCATAAAGTTGCTTTAAGAGTTAAAAATTCTTTTTTTCTTCAGGTTAATCTTAATAGTAAGCTTTCTTTCTATTATGATTTTTAGCTTCATGGTTTTTCTTTATTTGATAAATTTGAGGATTCTATTTTCTCATGGGTTAGCTATTCTAAAAATACTAAGCTTTGTGATGTTATTATTAATGGTTATTGGGCTTGTATGCTAATATTTTTGCCACTTTTCATTACCACCAAAAGATTTACAATATTCATATTTCCAATAATACTTCTTGTCTTTGAATGGGAAAAATAAATATTGTCATAAATCAGTTTTTATCTTTCTCTAAGAAAATTTTCTCGTTGTTAATTTGTATAAATTTATTTGGTTTAAGAGGTTATCATGTAAGTTTGCAATTCATGGTTGGAAAATATTTTATAGTGGTCTTAAAATATGCGAAGTTCTCATTTCTAGAAACATAACTATTAATTCTATTTATATTTGATGCTTTAGTGATGTTGAATCTCATAATCATTTATTTTTTTAATGTCATTTTTGTCACAATCTTCTAAGAAATTGTATTCATAATGGGAATTTCTTTACTTATCTATGTAATTTTTTTTCAATTGCTATTTCATTCTAAAAATATTACTTGTCAAATTTATAGAAAATTTATTTGTTGGTTGTTCAAGTCTCTGTTTATTTTATTTGGTTTGAGATAAATAACAAGATATTTAATAAAATTCAATTCCTGCTAATATTCATGTTCATAGAGTTCACTGAATGATCGAAGAGAAGACTAAAAGGTGACAATTTAAGAGAGTTCCCTTTAGACTTAAATACTTTTTATAAATTTTAAAGGTCTTCTTCCTATTTGTTTTTTCTTTGCTATGTCTATGAGTTTGCTCGATTCTTTTTTCTATTGGTTGTTTTAGTTCCTTTTGGTGATTTGATTGGTGTTGTTTGTTTTGTTGTCTTATTTTATATTATGGTGGTGTTTTTTTCAGATTTTTTCTCTATTCGGTTGAACTGATGAAATGTTGGCTTGCCACTATTTTTGGTGTGAATGTGCTGCTTGGACTTAATTTTCATGCTATCGGAATTTTGGTTTTTGATATTTTCCTTTGACATATGCTCTCTCAGCCCTATGTGTTGACACCTTCAAATATTATTTTGATCTTTTTCTTTTGGATGTGTTTAGGTCGAGTAATGATATTTTCTAACCGTTGCATTAAAATTCATACATACTAGTAAATATTATTTTTTGTAAGAAAAATTTATAATATTTGGAAGATATTTTAATGTTTTTTCTTCACAACAAGTAAGTTTATCTAAGCTCAATCTTTTATCTTTTTTCTTTCCTATAGTGTTCTTCTAGTTTTTGCCCTTTTGTCTGATTTCTTTTTGTTTTGTTTTCAGATTTTGGATTGGTTTTTATGGCATCAGATTAGCTTTCTTTGTTCTTCTTTGCCGTTTTCTTTCAGAGGATCTCTTTTAGTTGCTTTTGGTGCTCTACTTGGAGTTGTTGGTTAGGATGTCCTATCTTCATTTGATGAGAAGTTGTTGGAGATGTTCCTGGTTGTTTTGGACCTGCTCTATTATGATGTTTTCTGTTCTACTTGGTGATGTTTGTTTTGGGGTGATTAGTTTTATCATCTATTGAATAATGATGTGTTCCAACCACAATGATGTGTTCCAACCACAACATTAAAATTTAACCATACAAGTAAAAATTTTTCAGTAAGAAAATATTTATAGTATTTGGTTGATTTTTTAGTGTTTTTTTTCTTGTTAGGTAAGTTTATCTGAGCACAATTTCTATACTTTTTTTCCTCTCTCCTATGTTATTTTATTTTTTGTCCAATTATACTGTATTTTTTTGTTTGGTTTTCTGGCTTGGTATTAACTTTCTTTTTCCTTTATTGTTTTCATTTCCGGGGAAAGATACAAGATACTTTTGATGTTCTTAGAGTTGTTAGATTGAATGCTCTATCTTCATTAGTTGAGGAGCAGATTGAGATGTTCTCAGATGTTTCAGAGCTGTGTTGAGTTTTATGTGATGCTTGGAGATGATAATTTTGTTCTTAGTTGTTTTTTCTGTGTCTAATTACAATTTCTATTTTATATGGATAGATTCAGGGTGCATTTAAGGCACCTTATTTGCTGCGTTGCGTTTTGAAAACACAGTTAGGTGCATTTGGAAATTGTGTTTGAAGTATGTTTTCTAATAATTCCTTAATAATCTATATTAAACACAGTGCGGGTTCCCCTCTGCAAGTCGCGCTTGACAAAACAAATTGACGCCCAGTGCCCTTCTCCACTCTCATTCCCTTTTTCTTCAATCGCTATCGTGTACCTCTTAGAGGTCTCTCTCCATCTTTTCATTTCTCCTCCTCCTCCTCCTCCTCCTCCATCCTCTATTCGATCTTTTGTTGCAGTGCTCTATACCGTGGTTTTTAGTGTAATATATTTTTTAATAAAGTTAAATATGATCTTAAATTTCTCTAAAAAAAAGAAAGAAAAAAAAAAGGA